ATCTACCAGCTGTTTTCGTCAGCAACATTATGTTCTAAACTACCCATCCTCTCCGCTTTCTTTTGCCTACTTGGAATGTGAAATCGCACTATTCTAGCGCATGGCAATCCAAGTGACCAGCTTCAACTTCACCTAGACGTGGAACCCTGACTTAAAGTGTCATGCTGTACAATGAATGACAATATAAAACGCACGAACGGATAAAAGGCTGAGCCAAGGGAAGGATCAAAAGATTAAACAAATTTACAAAATAACACGCATTTGACTGTTAGGCATGCCTTGTCCGCATCAATGTACTTGATATTAGCATCATAGCCTGAAGACTGCAGATGTCACAGGTTAAGTATGAAGTGAAACAGGTATTATTTATATTAACTAGCCAAGCACACTTGACGTTCGAAAATCGGCTTAAAAGAGGAGCTTTTTGACTGTATGGTCGCGTCACTCAAAACAGCACATGTATATTTGCTTACTTGAATTTGCGAATACAAATCCGCTTCACCTCCTCGCTAAGGGATGCAATGGGGATCTTCTTTTTGTCCACTATGCCAAGGCTCTTCAGGGCATCCTGAAATGAAATGGGGAAGTGTTTACTTTTCCCGCAAAAAATACATACTTTGACGGTTTGCTCCCGGAAACTACTATAGTAATGGTGTGCAAGCTTACCCAAACAGTTAACAATGATAAATAAAATCAGATGGGTTCTGTCTCTCTGTAGGATATCCAAGGTTCGATTCACAAAGTAAGTTTCTGGGCAGTCAGTATGTCAGTGGATCCAATTGCCTTCTATAAGCTCTTTGCGGTCTGAACTTGAGTATATTAGGAAAGAACTGCCTTTGTAGTTGCCGACTTGTTGACGGAAAGTCAGGCTGCATCTATGGCCTCTATGGTACTTCTGCTACGTGGGATCCTCGCGGTGGTGTGGTAGCAAGCTTAAATGCTCAAACAGCCACCTGCGTCCTCTGCCGCTTGCACTCTTCTTGACTCAGTCATTACACCGGTCCTAGGTGGGAGAGGAGAGAGTGAAGTGAGCGCTGCGCAAGTCTACCGTCAATATAAACTATATCACACGCAGGTCACCGCCCCTGTGCCAACCAGGACGGGGGGCACATGGTGCGCACCCTCGGCACCGACAGTTGAATTCAAGTGTGCTGCTAAATGAAAGTGGAAATGGCTCGGACGCTGGAACCCGCAGTTAACTGACCTGGGATTCAGGAATCTGGTGGAAACCAGTCCTCAGGGAAACTGAAGTACCAGCAGTAAAAATTTACGGCATTTGCCATGCTTAACCAGGTATGGGCTCTACGGCTCCTCTGTCTGAGGTCCAGCTAGTTGGCAATGCCATTGTAGCCGACTGCCGTCCTTGCGCCATCCAGTGTAGCGACCCAAGAAACTGAACGATTGTTTAAGTACACTAAGGTCGTCACTATTTTGGCGCGGACCCAGGATGGAGATGATGTGATCGAGTGTCAGTGAAGAAACCGGTGCCCTTTTCCCTCTCAGTCGCTGACCCCCTGCCCGCCGTCGTCGTCGTGTTCTTTCGTATCGTAGTCCCGCATTCGATGTCAGCACTCCCGTCCCGCCCCTGCAGTCTCCCACAGCACTGTTTTCCCCACCGGTAACTGATCAGACATGAGAGAACAACCTCCACTGCAGATGGGAC